TGATAAACTGCGGAGCGCCGTTAAAAAGAGCGGGTTCTCGAGTTTTTATATATATAGTTTTAATATATATATATATGTATACACCAGTAAACATTCGAGTTTGAAACAGCCGGACTTGGCCAGGTGCCATCAGAGTCAGAGTCTCATTCAAGGCTTGGACTTAGACGTTCTGTCTTAAAGCGTAAGTTCCTCGCAGCTTTCACAGGTTGGGATTGTCTCTCCCAGGCCCCGAGTTTCAGTTGTGCAAGGAACGAATTAATCAACGAAACCTTGGTCGACTCTTCTCTGAACCTGCGAGGCACATTTCGTCTTTGGTTTCCTTGGGCGTTGCACCCAGCAGGGGACATGGGCTACAGGTGAACTGTTCAAATGAGTTCTGTTGTTAAGTTTCCCTAAAAATCTAGAAACCAAATGATTGCGCTTCTTCAAGGAAGCTTCCCCCACCGCGTTTAGGGGGGGAGCTTCCTTGAAGAAGTGTGAATTATCCTGCGTCCTAGTAGCTTACTTGTAGGTACTAGCTACCTAGCTACGGAGCGGGCTTCAAAAAGAATCAGAGGACGCAGGTTGGAACACATCGCAGCGAAGCCGCCTCAAGGATTCAGGTCGTTTGAACTCTGATGTTGGGGACAAAGATTCCCTCGAGTTTGCGCAGTCTGCTGCATCACTGCTTTGAGAGCTTCCTTCTGACTACATGGCTACTGGCCCTTTCAGTATCTCTTGGATGCTGCATTCGTTTGGGTTCTTTTCATATGCTGCTCCGACAGAAGTGGTGTACTTGTTGTGTCCGTGTGTGCTAGTGCTCAAGGCTCTACTGACTTTCTTTCGAATTCAGAGTCCAAGCCTTGCTACGAGAAAGTCAACTTTTGAAGCTTGGGCGACTGTCAACGAAAGGCATCGCCCCAGCCCATTGAACCCATCTAATCTTTGCTCCGCGGCCATGGCCTCCATGGCCTGGCTGATATTGTGATTGTGTATTTTCATTCGAGCGATGGACCAGCGATCCACAGCCAAGGTATGGCGAACATAGCCAGTTGCAGATCACAATTGCCATAGCTTGCAGCTTCATTGTGGCAACCTGGGTAGTTGCAGAGGTGACAGCTGAAGAAATACGTCTAAACAATCACAGTACTCATGTGCGCTGTGCGCCAGCTTTGTTCGTAAGGATGATTGCAACATGAACATTAAACTGGGATCCTTGATTGCAGAGTAAACTTTCAACCATCAATGACTACAATCCTGACTCCAATTCATATAGTTTGCACAGGCATGCAATCAGATTGGCCCACATGCTGGCGATGTACAAGCCTATGTGGCTTGGCTGTTGGAATGCATAGTGTGAAGAATTGCTTACGAGATTCTCTTCAGCAAGCGAAAGAACACTGATTGAGGAACTGGCAAGCAATGTGGAAGCAGATCCTGTAATTATTGGCCGAAAAGTGGCGGACGCTGAAGGGGGAGAGGAATGCGAGGTACTTGGGCCATTTGCGTTTCTTTTTTTAAACAAAAACCTTAAAGGGGCCCTTACGTTACCTTCATAGATATTTTTTCTTATGCGTTTTGATTCCATTTGATAGATTTTGGAGCCAGGCTGTCCAGAGCGCAAGTGAGCAAGAAGTGGTCAATGAGGCTGGAAATTTTGCGACTTGCTTGTAACAAGTCCAATAACTCTTGCATCGCCTGGTGCAGGGTTTGCGTCGCTCTTCTGTGGCGGTTCAGGCTTGGAAGATTGAGGGTGAGTTCAAATAACTTGAAAACTCGATTCTAGCATCAATAGTTTTCAATTATATCATAAGTCAGATGCATTTTGTGTTTGTTTCTAGAGCTAGAATGAGAAGATCCAAACTGGTCACCACCCGCAATGCCTTGATTTGATCGAAAGGAGGCTCAAAGCCAAATGTCAGGTCAAACCTGGAAGGGTTGGTTTAAGCTGTATTTTTTGGTGCATGCCTGTCTGTTTGTTGTTCAAACTGTTGCGATGTTGAGCCTGGCTGTTGTAGCAAGAGATCCCGAGGCCTGGTTAAAAGAGCACATCGCAGAGTGGCGAGCAGGGGCGGAGCTTTCTGCATCTTGGCACCATCACTCATAGTGAGCAAGACTCGACATTGCTTCACTTGAAACGTGTGCGATGTGGAAGCGTGTTGAACGCACATGGCTTGTCTCAAGGTCATACTAGCCTTCTTGTACTTGTGTGACCGCACAAGCATTCTGGCTGATGGGCCAAAAGTCCACGATCCAAAGCAATTCTGGGCGCTTTGGGCGCTCATTGTCGCTATTGCATGTTTGACTGTGAGGAAGAGTGAGGATTCCAGCCCATTGTCACGGGAACAGACGGATGAATGGAAAGGATGGATGCAAATCATGTTTTTGATGCAGCTGAACTGCACATAGACACTTTGACAGGAAAAAGCTTCGAACGCCAAATTTTGGCACTGGCAGCGATGGCCTCCACTCAGTAGCTTCTAGTTACTATTTTTTTTGAATTTAACCCCTAACGACTTGAGATGATTGAAGGAGACAGCACGGTTGAAGCAACGTTCGGTCCAAATGGTAGTTGAGCTGTTCTGTCTTTGTAGTACCCTCTCTCTTTTCATTCATGATTTCTGAGTCTTTCTCCCATTCCGCCTTGCCTTGTAGTTTTAATCCATCAATCATGTCTTCTCCAACCTGTCCATCCATGCTAGCTACTGAACGGAAATGCTTGTGATGCAAAAAGGTCCAATTGCATCACAAGCAATGTATCCAGCTCCACCGGGCTTGTTCACAGCCAGCTAGTAAGCGAAAAGAGCTTGAACAACACAATTGAAGATACAAGAATTTGTTGGTGTTGGCAGAAATACTAAGGTACCACTACTTTGAAGAGAAGGAAGTGTACAATGCAATCCGTGTGTACATTGCAGCCTATGTATGGATGACCGGATATGGCAACTTCTTCTTATATCGGAAGGGAAAAAGCTTCACCGCCAGACGAACTGCTCAGATGCTGTTCCGATTGAACTTTCTCGGCTTTGTTGTGTGTATTGTTCTCCGAAATGAGTACATGCTATACTACATTTGTGCAATGCACACCCTTTTCACAATCTTTGTACTGCTGGCCATGTTCGTTGCCAACACACAGAACTCGGTTTATGGAGTGCTTTGGGTGAAAGTAATAGCAACTCTGGCATTTACAGTGGCACTGTACGATGGACCTGAGTATATTTTTAGGTCAGTTTTTGGCACGCTGCCTGTGGTGCGGCCTTTGTTTGCGTTCCACGATCCACTTCATCCAGAATTCACAGATGAAATGCATGAATTTCACTTTCGATCCGGTCTTGACCGATACATTTGGATATTTGGCATGGTATGTGCTCTACACTTTGCAGGTTTTGCATACATTTTACAGTTTTTGGAGAACCTTTCATGGCAGAGAAGACGGGGCATTCAGCTTGTTTTGCTATTGCTCTCACTTGGCTGTGGTTGGCTGTGGTGGAAGCACGTCTTTCTCTTGGAGAAACTCGCATACAACAAGGTTCATCCATACACGTCGGCAGCCTATTGATGAATGTCCACTGCTTTACATGTCAGTCTCAAATGGTCGATGTAAAATGGCACCATTTTGAAAAAAGACAAGTAATGCCTTCTTCCTCCTAGTAGCGATGCCAGGAGCCCCTAGTAGCGTCCTTGCTCCTAGTAGCGATGCCAGGAGCCCCTAGTAGCGTCCTTGCTCCTGTAGCGATGCCAGGAAGCGTCCTTGCTCCTAGTAGCAATGCCAGGAGCCCCTGGTAGCGTCCTTGCTCCTAGTAGCGATGCCAGGCCCCTAGTAGCGTCCTTGCTCCTAGTAGCGATGCCAGGAGCCCCCAGTAACATCGTTGCTCCTAGTAGCGATGCCAGGAGCCCCTAGTAGCGTCGTTGCTCCTAGTAGCAGGGTCAGCAGCCTCTAGTAGCGTCGTTGCTCCTAGTAGTAGGGCCAGCAGCCCCTAGTAGCGTCGTTGCTCCTAGTAGCGATGCCAGGAGACCCTAGTAGCGTCCTTGCTGCTAGTAGCGATGCCAGGAGCCCCTAGTAGCGTCCTTGATCATAGTAGCGATGCCAGGAGCGCCTAGTAGCGTCCTTGCTCCTAGTAGCGATGCCAGGAGCTCCTAGTAGCGTCCTTACTAGTAGTGTTTGGTTTTAGTAGCAGTAGCGATGCCAGGAGCCCCTAGTAGCGTCGTTGCTCCCGGTACAGCAGGGCCATCAGCCCCTAGTAGCATCCTTGCTCCTAGTAGCGATGCCACGAGCCTCTAGTAGCATTTGGTTTTAGTAGCGATGCCAGGAGCCCCTAGTAGCGTCGTTGCTCCTAGTAGTAGGGCCAGCAGCCCCTAGTAGTCCTTGCTCCTAGTAGCAAGCCAGGTGCCCCTAGTAGCGTCGTTGCTCCAGGGCCAGCAGCCCCTAGCAGCGTCCTTGCTGCTAGTAGCGATGCCAGGAGCCCCTAGTAGCGTCGGTGCTCCTAGTAGTAGGGCCAGCAGCCGCTAGTAAGGTCCTTGCTCCTAGTAGCGATGCCAAGAGCCCCTAGTAGCGTCATTGCTCCTAGTAGCAATGCCAGGAGCCCCTAGTCGTCGTTGCTCCTAGTAGTAGGGCCAGCAGCCCGTAGTAGCGTCCTTGCTCCTAATAGCGATGCCAGGAGCCCCTAGTAGCGTCGTTGCTCCTAGTAGTGATGCCAGGAGCCGCTAGTAGCGTCCTTGCTCCTAGTAGCAGGGCCAGCAGCCCCTAGTAGCGTCGTTGCTCCTAGTAGCAATGCCAGGAGCCGCTAGTAGCGTCCTTGCTCCTAGTAGCGATGCCAGGAGACACTAGTAGCGTCCTTGCTCCTAGTAGCAATGCCAGGAGACCCTAGTAGCGTCCTCGCTCCTAGTAGTGGGGCCAGGAGAGCCTAGTAGCGTCCTTGCTCCTAGTAGCGATGCCAGGAGCCCCCAGTAACATCCTTGCTCCTAGTAGCGATGCCAGGAGCCCCTAGTAGCGTCCTTGCTGCTAGTAGTGATGCCAGGAGCCCCGTTGCTCCTAGTAGCAGGGCCAGCAGCCCCTAGTAGCGTCGTTGCT